GTAAAAAACATGCTCATTTTATTTTTGCCACAGTTTATAGAACTTACATCTATATTCTAAACATGTAAAATAGCAACAACCAGGTTTTGTTTTGGTTCAAATTAAGTCATATATTAATGTACAGAAAATGACTCCGGAACTGGTTGATCTAATCTTTTCTGATCAGCCTTTATGTTTGTCACTTATCTTCTTCATCCACCTATTCATTTCTGCAACCTACAACCCAAAGATGATAAATACAGGAAGTTCTGCTGCTTTGCTACAAATATGGAGCATCTTTTGTTGATGGCAACAAAAGCCAGTAAGAGAGAGCATTTGAGGTAATGCTAATTTGGGGGTGGGGATGGAAATAGACTATAATAAAAAATAAAAGGCAATCTTTATGCAGTAATGTATAATGTATCTTAGCCTGAAGATTCTCTGCCTTAGGCATGCAGTATTTACCTTATAGTATTACAATAACGTTTCTCTGGCTCAAGTCCTACTTAGAGATGTATAGGAACCCCAGGCCTAACGCTTTGCTTCTGATCTCCTATGGGTTACTAGAATGTGTATCTCGCAGATATCAATTAGCAGCAACACTGCTCTCCTATCATCCTTTTCCTCGGCTCCTCTAACTACCATGATGGTCCCAACTTTCAACCCAGATGGCATGGCATGGTGCCCTAGTCATTGTGGTTTTCTCCTGCTCTTGGTTTTGATCACTTGTATATGCTTGGTGGTTTGGGGAAGGAAAAAACTTTTCTCTCTGCTCTCTTAGGTGTTAGGGCTAGGGCCCTATGAGTTGGATGCACAAAGAACAGATTAACAAAAAACAAAACAGAAGCTTATTAACACGTTCATCAAGCATACACATGGGAAACACAGTGATGGTAACTCAAAAGGGTGGTTGGAAGTTGGAGATTATAGAGCATCTTAACAAAGAACAATTTTATAAACAAATAACAAGACAAAGAAAAAGTGGTTTAGGCTTTTAGGGGCAGCACATATGGAAAGATAAATATATGGAGAAACTCATGAAGGTTAAGGGCCAGTGCATAAGGTTTGTTTTGCAGATTTCTCTGGTGTGCTCTCCAATCTACAGTTGTCCCTGGTGACTAAGAATTGACCTGCCTTTTCTTTTAGAAAGGAAAAGGCAGAGAGATTTTCTTGCATGTGCTTAGTCTCTATCGCTTTTAGCTCAAAATAATCCTTATGTCAAAGTGGCATATTTTGGGATAACGTACTCTGAACACTTTCGGTGGCTTCTAACTTCTAGTCATTCCCTCCTCTGGTTTATGATCCAGTAAGGCTTGTATTGAAATGAGAAGAGTATTTACCACTCCACTTGTCTTATAATTTAGCCAAAACTGTATCACTATCTTTTACTCCATCCCTGGAATGTTAGTACCATTTTTACCATTTTGCTTTGTATTCCTTTTAATATCCACCCACACACAGTCTAGGATTTAGAATTGACACCTTACTTTACTCAAATTAATCTTGCCCCTTGAAAACCTGTTTCTTGGATTAATGTTTTATACCTTACACTCCCTCCCTGGAAGTCTAATACCTCAAATAGGTGTATGAGTCTACCAGGCTAACCCTCCAGTCTTTGTTTAGGTGAAGGACACACAAATATGCATGCGTACATGAATACACACACACACACACACACAAACCCCTACACAACTATCTATATTTTTAAAAATCTTTTAATAGTATTTAAAAGTATCTTAAAATATAAATATGTAATGCCAAGACATATCAAATTGAACAACTTAAATATATACAGTTTATTGTGTGTCAGTAATACCTCAATGCAGCTGTTAAAGAAAATACAAACATAATCACCATTAAAATCTTATACTAAAAATATATATATAAACATATGGAAGAAGTTTGTACTAGGGCTGGAGATGAGTTTTAGTCATATATGTCATGTGGAATTAGGTAGTTAGAGAAGGAGAAAGTGGAAAATGGGAAAGAACAGAAGCCAAATTGCATGGAAATATGGTGGAAAAATTTCTGAGCCAGACTCAAAAGCAGAGCCGAAGGTCAAGAGGAAATACTGTTTCCAGATACCATGTCGTAACTTGTTTGAACACTTTGTGACCTTTCTACCCTGGATGCAGTTATGCTTCCTGGGAGGGATTGGAGAGGGAAGAATGGGCTACAGGTAGAGCTGACTGGATCTCTAGAGGGGATTCCCTCTAAGAGAATGTCAGTCTACAGGGAGGTAGCAGCCTCCTTATTTTAAGGCAGAGTCTTAAACCTGCCTTAAAGAAACCTGGCAACATGAAGTCTGAAGTCATCGTAAGTTGACAAAATGGAAAGGAATCTATGCTTATTTAGTGATGATGGAGGGCATGGCCATCCAGCAGCAGGGGCCAGTAGCAACACGCACTGACCTCCCAGTGCATGTGTGTAAGTCATAATCCATGGACACAAAAAATAGCTCAGGGGTGAAGGGCCCTACTTACATAAGTAGGAACAGTGAAAGGAGGACACTTGGCATTTGAATGAATGAGAACTCTTCAGAGACTGGAGGGGCTGTTGAGTTTGTTTATCTGTGTGAAAGCCACTACCTCTATGTGTATGTCATGGGGCACAACTCTAAGTAGTAAGTGAACTACATTGCCATACTATACCATATGGAAGTGTACGGTTTTATAGGCTTTAAAAATATTGGGCCTCCACAAATTTAAGCCTTGAAAAATCTTCATTTACCTTTGGATCTAGAAGTTTTTGATGGAAGATGCCATTTTCCATATAACTGTACTTTTATAAAGGTTCATAACAAATCTAAAGAAAAATGTGCCTAAAGCTTCTTTCATTCCACTATATGGCATAAACCAGACCAAACTCCCATATTCTCTACTTATATATTTCATATGATTTCATCTATAGCAAGACTCTGGAGATAATATTTGGTAATGAGATTTCAAGCTCACAAAGACAGCCAAATAGCATATTGTTCCCACCATAGTGCCTAGACTATTACTTTGCATGTGGTAGATATGTGTTAGGTAAATGAATAAATGGCAAAAGTGATGTTTTTACAAGATTCCCAACTTAATCCAAGTGAAGGATCATGTTAGAAATTTTAAAAATGTAAGAGAGAGAGAGCTAAGAAGTCTAGAGGAGAATTAATGCAGGAAACTTCAAGACAAATACTAGAAGACCATAAGATGAACCAAACTTGTGAGCCAGGAATAGATGTTTCACTTTCTCCTATAGCATAATAAAGGATGTAGAAGCAGAAAAGATTTAATGATTAAGACAGAGGTTCCTGGCAAATTCTAATTTCCTAATCCATTGAGTCTCTCCCATCTTCACTGATTTCATTCTTTTGATGTGTAAACAAAGCTCATTCTCATTGACCTGCTAGTCAAAGAAATCCTAATGGCAAAATTGGCTCCATTTGACTTTTTTATTTTAAACGTTCAAAATATGTTTCCATCTAAAAAGACAGACTCCAATCTAACTGGCTAATCAAAATTACTTCAAATAAAACAAGAGTTACTGTGATTCATAGGATGTACTATAAGTTAAATTGCAAAATGATTGAGAAAGGAAGGGTCTTGGCTTCAGAAAAGAATAAAAGCTACCTGCAGGGGACACCTGGGTGGCTTAGCGGTTCAGCATCTACCTTCAGCTCAGGGTGTTATCCAGGGGTCTTATGATGGAGTCCAACCTCAGACTCCCTGCAAGGGGTCTGCTTCTCCCTCTGCCTATGTCTCTGCCTCTCTCTCTCTCTGTGTCTCTCATGAATAAATAAATAAAAGCTTTAAAAAAAAAAACTACCTGCAGGATCAAAGATTGTGTATTCTTGGCAGAGGACCTAAGAAAAAAGATTGTCTTGGTGAGTGGTTTTATGAGTGTGTCAAATTGAAGAAGATCATGTACTGAGTTAAAATTAGGTCTCCTAGAATCAGGACTAGAGACATGCCATGGAAACTACAGGCACTTGCAGTTTGAAGATTTAGGGCCATGGAAGTGATGAGGAATTAAAGGGGAAATAAGTCCACAATGAGGAGGATGGAGCATGAGGAGGTACATGAGGAAGGCAAAGAGGAGGTACATACAGGGAGGCAAAGCCAACAACAACACCATTGCTCAAAGTTATATAAAATGAACTGTGCTCTTGCCTTTTCTAGGCTCCACTTTAGGTCCCTTAGACCAGGCTGTAATTAATTCACATCTTTGGGTTCTCTGAAATTTCCTCATATCCTTTCATTTCTTTGACTTAGGCTAGTTTAAGTAAGTTTGCTCTTTCCTCCTTGAAAAATACATTCGTTACTATCTATATCTCTAACTGAAACACCCTCGTTTTCCAGAGACAGCAGAGTGACAAATAGCCATAGAGCTGGCTTGATTCATCATAAGATACATTTCTTGAAGGGCGCCTGGGTGGCTCATTGGTTAAATGTCTGCCTTCAGCTCAGGTCATGATCCCAGGGTCCTGGGATTGAGCCCGTATTGGGCTCTCCACTCAGCTGGGAGCCTGCTTCTCCCTCCCTCTCTGCCTGCTGCTCCCCCTGCTCATTCTCTCTCTTTCTCTCCATCTCTCCACCAAATAAATAAGTAAAATATTTTAAAAAATCCCTGAAGTACAACTGAATAAAGTTTTCCCTTTATTGAGCTTTTCCATGTTCTAAGAGACAAACTTCCTAACTTCTTTTCTCTGGTTCATTTTAATAGTTAGATGTTAGTTGAATAAATGTGTTTATTCATTACTGGAAGAAACACTTACTGAGCAACAACTCTGTGTCAGGCCCTATTTTGGAGACTGTGAGTAAAGTTAATGAGACATGGTCACTGTCCTAACGGATGTCCAATAAGAAAAAAGAAAATATTAGGAGGATACAGGGAATTTCATGTAATGGTCAGCCAGGTCTCTCAAATGACTGGAAACAGAAAACAGAAAGATAAAAAGAACTAAAGAACTAAAGCAATCCCTCTCTCTCTAATGTATTCATGCTTCAGTGACTTGGTCTCTCCTTTCTGTTTTCTTTTTTTTTTCTGAAGTGAACATAACATCAAGATTTTATTGTCTTCATAACAAAATATGAAGTTTAGAACTGGATCACTTGGCCCTTTCTCTTCTTATCTCTTCCCAGTTCAAAATGCTTGCATCTCTTAATAGCCAGCATTCTCTTAGATCTGCAGTTGGGCTCAACACATTCAAGCCTCAGCACAATCTTCTTTGTAGTTTTAGCCTTTTTCCGGAAAATCGGCTTAGTCTGCCCACCATAGCCACTCTGCTTCTGGTCATAACGCCGCTTTCCCTGGGCATAAAGAGAATCTTTGCCTTTCTTGTACTGTGTCACTTTGTGGGGTTGGTGCTTACCACACTTCTTGCAGAAAGTCCGGCGGGCTTTAGGAACATTCACCATCGTTGCGAGAGCGCTATCAACACGGAAAAGTTCCTTTCTGTTTTCTATGAAAAGCTACTAATTGGCTTTTTCTATTTTCATTTGAAAAATGGCTGCCCCGAATGAACATGAATTCCTGGTCCATGTGGTCAGCAAAGATCCTCTAGAATCTCTGTACTATGAATACAACTTTCTAGGAGAAAATCTAATCAATGCAGTTTGGGCCAGGTGTCTCTCCATGTCACTAGGAGGCAGGATGACTTCCAGAAGGAAATCAGTGGACAGAGCTGGCAGGTTGCTTTGCGTGTCTGCCACACACATGAAAACAAAGACAGCTAATGCTTGTAATGCTAGAACAGAAGTATGAATAAAATGCATAGATGGATTGATGGTTCCAGGGACTAAGGAACGTAGAATTATTTTAGTTTTATTTGTTTTGTTTTTAAGTTGGAAGTATCTGTTTTTTTGTTTTTGTTTTTGTTTTTTGTTTGTTTGTTTGGTTTTTTTTGGATGTCACGCAACTCAAGAGATGCCGGGAGACCTGTTGGTGAATCAAACGCAATGGATTCTGAATTTTACTCATTCTTGTCATGGATTTACTGAGTAACATTTGAGGAGTCACTGGTTACTTCTTTGCAACTTTTCTAAGAGTTACATAGAATTTCACATTCCCTACCCTTTTCAGGTATAGGGAGAAGAATGTAGAACTCTTCAGAAATTCAATTTAGTGATAATTTTTAGGAAATATTTGCCAGGTACAGGACTAGACACTGGTGATGGAAACAGGGAAGATTTCAGAGATCCAGCATTTAAGTCTAAATTCAAGTCATACCATAATACATGCAAAAGAAAGAGTTTTGGTATGAGTGATTGCAGGGGCAGGTCGAGGTTCAACTGGGAGCTTAAACACTAAGGTGCTTGGACTTCATCCTGTAGACTTCCCAAGATTTTCAGCAAATTAATCCTGCATTTTGGAAAAAATAACTGTGATGATGGTATAGAGTATATCGCAGATAGGAGAGGAGGAAGCAGAGAGAGATTGCATAGGAGACTGACACTGTGAGGAAAGAGCAAAAGGGCTTGAACTAAACAGAGCAGCATTGGCAGAAGAAGTAGGAAATGGATAGACCACCACGTTAAGGTTAAGGACAGAGCTGAGATGGTGTGGTGGCAGGAAGGCCTGATGGTAGTCCTAAGGATGGAAAGCAGAGGCTTCTAGTTTAGGTGATTGTATGTGTCGGAATGAGATAGGCAAAGACCTGGATTTGAAGATAAAAAAAGGTCATAGAAAATGCTGGGGAAAATTCTTTCAAGCCTCCTCTCCAAAGACTCCAGCCTAGAGTTGGAAAGAAAAGAGTGGCGAGGCCTTACTCTATCCCTTAGCAGTTCTCAGAATGTGGCCCCTCGATGTCTCAAGACCCTTTTGGTGGTCAGTAGGTCCAAAATATGTTTATACTAATACTGAGATATTATCTGCATTTTTCACTGTGCTCACATTTACCCTATGGTACAAGAACAATGATTAGTAAGAGTAATTATTGCATTCTTCACCACTGAATACTCAGAGAAAAAATGAGAGGGAGAGGGTAACGGGAGGGGGAAGAAAGGAAGGAGGAATTATGGGGGAAGAGGACAGAGTAGGGGAGGAGGAAAGGTGGGAGGAAGGAGAGAGCTAGTTTCACTTAGAATGTCTGTAACAGGGCACGTGGGTGGCTCAGTCAGTGAAGCATCTGACTCTTGATTTCCTCTCAGGTCATGTTCTCAGGGTTATGAAATCGAGCTCTGCATTGGGCACTATGCTAAGCATGCAGCCTGCTTGGGATTCTATCCCTCCCTCTCCCTCTGCCCTGACCCCCCACTTGTGTTCTTGTGTGCGAGCTCTCTCTCTCTCTAACAACAACAAAAAGGATGTCCTTGACAAAGCAGTAAAAATTAACTACCTTTATTAAATCTCAACCCTTGAGTACATGTCCTTTAAATATTTTGCATGAGTAAACCTGGTAATACACATTAAGCACTTGTGTTGCACACTGAGTCAAGATGGTTGTCTCAGTGATTCATAAACCAAACTAGCCATGTTTTTTTCATGGAAAAAAACCCGTTTTACCTGAAAGAACAATTTATAGACAGACTATGATTATTCAGGCTGGGGTATTGGGTAGACATTTCTCAAAAATGAATGAAATGGTCTTTTATTCACACAGAACCAATGATAGTATGTGTTTCCAATGATCAAATCCAAGGTTTCAAATGAAAATTGAAATTTTGGAAAATGTGTATGTGCTAGCATGAGTCTGACAGCTTCCCAAAATGTAAAAACTTTTGTGATGAGCTAGGTGATATGATTTTTTTTATATTGTGTGCTGAAATGCATCAACAATTGGAAAATCTGCACAACCCAGTGAACCAATATTTTTTAAATGACCAGTGTATGAGGGGACAAAACTTTGCAGGGGTAAAAGATCTACTCAAAGTGCTCAGTAGGCCGATGAATTTTAATGCACAACATGTTGGAGGAGGTTATGACTGCTGATTGATCCGCAAATTGGACTCAGGACATTGGAGGCTCCTTATCCCCTCCCCTATCCTTGAAATGTAGGAGGAACATTAGGGACATGGCTTTGAGAAACTAATGTGTTATTGAGACTATATGAACTGTATATATGACTAAATCCTGCCTGTTAGGGGCTCTACATAAACTTAGGATGCTGGCAGCAATGTGGAGATTCACTCATCTTGCGGCCACTCCAGACAAACCTAGCATGTAAGTTCCCTTGCTTGTTAAAGCTGCGACCCCTCAATCTGAAGATGTCTGCCTCATTCCTCTCTCTCCTTGCCCTCCATGTATGGGGGCCAGCTTCAAATTTCATCCCCAGGGACTCCTGAGGTTGCACATCAACACATTAGGGTAGGCAAAGGTTATTGATGTGGTTTCAGATTCCACATTGGAACTAGTCTTTAAGAAGCTACCCCTTGTTGCATTTGGGGACAGTATCAGGTGTATCCACAATTATGTTCTGTTTTTTCATCTACATCTGTGTGATACCAGATTAATTCCAAATTATTACCAAATTAATATAATTTCACTGAAACTACACATCAGAACACATTGGATGCAGGAGCAGATATGAGAAATCAAGTCTTTATTTTTTAAGCCAGACATTAAAAAGATTGGCAAAAATGTAAGACAAAGCCATTCTTCTCATGCTTTCTTTACTTGGGGAAATATGGGTTTTTTTTTTTGTAGAATATGTTATTTATGTTAATACATAAGAGCCTTATTGTTGGATTAATACATAAATACATAATATATAAATATTAGAGAATGTATCTGTTCCAATTTCTTACATGGTAAATACAGGTAGAAATAATCCACATAAACAAAACTTCTTTGGGATCCTCCATATTTTTTCCAGCCTTAATAAGGTATAATTGACAATTACAGTTTGTATATATGTGTATAAATATATGTATATACACATATGTATATACTATATATATATCATTAGGGAAAAAATAAATAAAATGATCTGATTATCACAATCAAGATAATTAGCATATCCATCACTTCACATGGTCACCATTTTTTTGTTTTCCTTGTGAGAACACTTAAGATCTACTCTCTCAGCAAATGTCAAATATACAATACAGTATTATTGACTATAGTCACCAGGCTGTACACTAAACACCCAGGACTTATTCATCTTATAACTGAAAGTTTGTACCCTTGCACCAACATCTCCTCATTTTCTTCACCACCAGGCCCTGGTAACCACCATTCTAGTCTCTGTACTATGAGATGGCTTTTTTAGATTCCACATGTAAGTGAGATCATGCAGTATTCATCTTTCTCTGTCTGGCTTATTTCACTTAGCATAATGTCCTCCAGTTTCATCCATCATTGCAAATGGCAAGATGTCCTTTTTTGCAGCTGAATAATATTCCAACATCTTGGTCCTTGTGCACAGAGGTGAAATACCATGGTGCCACAAGCATGGTTGCTGAGGAGGCATTGTGGCTGGGGCCACCATCCACTTGGTGTATGACTAGAAGTTGCTGGGGCCTAGCGAAAGAGCCAGACTGTCCTTCAGAAGTCTAAGGAGGTAGCCCTGCCCCAGTCATGAGCCAATTCACCCAGTACAGGTGTGAGTAGACCAGTCTCAAGACACCCCAAACCCCAGTCCCTCCGAAGTTTAACTTTCACATCTAATAAGTCTTAGAATTCAGGCATCATTCTGCTGATGTTGGCTTTCTCGGTAGCCCCCTCCAAGGCCCCTAAGTACTCCAAGGAGGGCTGAGAATACCTGAAGGAGCAAATCAAGTAGCCTGTCAGAGGAGGCCACCTGCCCCAGAGGCACCATAGACCTGGAGACTCCAGAGTGGGACTGGGACTCCACCCCAAGGGCAGTATAGGACTTTGGAAGTGTTAGAAAATATCTATTTCATCATCTTTTTATCCACTCATCTGAGATTCTCAAAAATTTTAAGTATAAAGGACTCCTTGAGACCAAAGAGTTCAAAAAGCCCTGCCTTGATCTTATTTCCTCCGAATGTGTGTCCAGCACAGTTATACCTAGGCAGAATAGTTCCTAGGAAGATTAAGGCAGGAGTTGTCCAACTATTTTGTCTCAAGAACATTTTATACTTTTAAGATTAATGTGGGGCAGGAGTCAACTCTTTGTTTCTTGAACTTTGAAATTTTTGCCTACTCTGGAAAAATTTAGCTCCTGATTTATTCCCTACCTCATGCCGGCATAATGCTCATTTGTCCCGTTCTGAGCACAACAGCAAAGAAGGGTGCATTTGCCTCCCCAGCACCCAGAGACAAAGCACAGATCCTCCTCTCACATGAAGGGAACTACATCGCCTCCCAAACAAGGGTCTGTTCCAAACACTTACTCACATTTCAGTGAGTCAGAAGGAAACAGACAGATATTCATCTCCCTGAAACTGGCTGACTTCCTGTAAGAAGCCTGTGAGGAGAGTCAAGGTTGGGTGTCAGGGTTAGTAAACGGCCACCTGAGAGCTCTCAGGTGTTAGCG